CCGTCCGCTTACTAAAACGTCGTTATGTGACAAAATATTAAAAGTCTTAACCCAGAATTATAATATTGAAATTGTTTAATAATATTTCAGCTATGCATCGTTGGGGTAAGTTCCTATAAATTGAACACGTTAACTAATTTTAACTGTGTGTTTAAAAGATAATTTTTTGCTTTTGTTTTTGCTATTTAAAACGAATATTTGACTTAGGTATTTGCGATTTAAAGCTCCCGAGTGGCATGTAACACAGTCATAGAAAGGCTGGTTCTTACCACCAGGCGCACGACTTGTTAGAATAGAATAGAATAGAATAGAAAAACATTTATTCATCGGTACATACAACACAATAACCAAAAATAGAAACACAATTACAAAAACAAGCAAAATAAAATACAGGAGGAAAATGTGAAAACCTAAAATTAAATAATAAGCTTATATATACAATGTGTTGTATGCAACCATGAAAAGGCCACGACTCAGCTTAATGCCAGTCAGGAGACTGGCGCTGTTCTTCCGTCGTATCCTTACGCATTCATGCGTCGACCGGGTCCCAAAATTAAATTCTACACAAGTAAATAAATGAGATTAAATGAATTATGTCACTACTAACATAGATTATAATATATATTAGAATAAATAAGTGCAGTAAGAAATTACAAAGATATCTAACCTTTATTGAGAATTTTCACAGTATTAGGTGTGATATTGTGTGTCTAGTGCAAAAGAAGCATAACTTAAAAGTACAGCGCAAGTGAGTACCTTCCACTATCAGGGCTGTTTTTGGGTGTCCAACAATATAACTTTAAGATGTCTTTTAAAAATTTTCTTTGACATTTTGACATTTTGTTCGTCTCATGGCTTGATAACATAAAAAAACAAGTATTGCCGTCTACATTATCTACTTATTCCATATACTTACAATCAATATCTAAGTGGACATTATCACAGCTCTTTAGTGAGCTAGCGTGCTTACCCCTTTCGAGATTCGTTTGATCATTGACAATGTTCGGAATATCATTTTAATAAGTTGACTTACATTGTATACGTTGAGCACGCAACCTTTTCAGTTCGACTTCCGCCATGGTGAACGCGAATTAACAGTAATTCTTTAACGCACTATTACATAAAAACGCACTTTCTATGTAGCTGAATGGTGCACTGTATAAACACTGAATTTTTTATTCTTAGCTATTCTGGAGCTGTACCCTGGAGAAAATATTGCAAAGTGTGCTTTGTTATTGTTTACAAATTATATATATGAAAAGAAAGTGACAGACTTTATCGAGTTAAGTGGTTCTGACGTTTGACGTATCGACCGCCTTCCCGCGCCGGCGCTGTTGGCCAACCCAACAACCCCAACAAGCCGTTCCGGGCCGCTCGTTCTCGCCTCTGACGTCATAGGTGTAGTCCAGTGTTGCCAGATGGTGAAATTTTTTCACATTTCTTGTAACTTTTGTCCATTTGATGTAATGTATTGTAAGTAACTTTTGTTTTTGGGCAATTTCCGTAACTGTTTAGAACATTGAGATATTTTAAATTAATATTAGGTTCTTACTTATGAAATTGCCGATTGCAAATACTGGAAAGTTTAAAGTTCGATATCTCTAATTTTACTTTCAAATTCAAATTATAGTTAATATTTCTTTAAAAAAAAGTCAGATATTTTTTTGTTTTTGTATCGTTCGATTTTTTTTTATTTAGCTGTTTCTGTGACTATGTTTTTTTCGAACACAAGTTATGTCGTGGCTCCAACGCAGCATAGGTGGCACGCAATACCAACGACGTGTATGGACCAGGTAGCGCAAGTATGCGCACAGTGCGTTTTTGGTTCTGGAAATTTTGGTCTCAACAAGAGCCTCTTGGCTGACAGAAATTGAAACTCCATAAAGATGAAAGGCCATAGTGGAAGCAGATTCATCTTAAACCAAGTCGTAATTACCAGTAGCCTTCTACGTAAGTGACAAAACAATATTGATTCATTTGCGACTACTTGGAATGACAAAAAAGCTAAGAAATTGAGTGCCGCATAAACTCACTGAACAACAACAACAAAATCGCGTCAAAGCTTGCCTTAACTTGTCGAATAGGCACTCAAATGAGAGAATTCTAGGTAAGATTGTCACTTGTGATGAAAAGTGGATCTCGTATGATAATCGGAAATCTGTCGTACTGGGTGACAACATGGGAGGCAGCCAAACCATGTTCCAAACGCAGATTGAGTCAAATAAAGCTGCTTGTGAGTTCATGGTGGAACTATACTGGCATTGTTTATTATTGCTTCTTGAGACCTGGCAGAACAATTACTGCAGACGTATGCTGTGAAGAATTGAAAGATAATGACGATGGGCAAGCTGGCTATCAATCAACCGAGTCTTGTCAATTACTCTAGTCGACACCTTCTCCACGACAAAGCTCGCCCACACACCGTACATCAGACCTCCTCAAAACCGCAGAAATTATGACTGAAAACTCTCTGTCACCCACCATCATCGATTATATAACCAGAAATAGAGACGAAATTTCATTTAATTTGTTTGAAAACTATTCTGCCATTATCATTACTGTGACAACTGCGCTTCGATTGGCCAGCCCGAATTGTTGTGTCTCGTCAATTGTTTCACTTCAAAACGATCAGTTAACTTGAGCTTTGCCATAATGGACGAAAATTGCAAAATTTACGTAATATTTAATTACCGTAGAAATTTAATTCCGTTTGTTTTGTAGTTAGATGTTTTGCTGTTTTTCCCCACTTTTTGCGGTGAAAAATGCCTTTAAACAGTTCATCGATTCCCATCCCCAGGATTTCTATAGCAGAGGCATCAATGAACTTCCATTAAAATAGCAAAAATGCACCGACTGTAATGGTCAATACTTGGATTAATTAAATATATAGGGTAAGAGCACCAGTGGCCAGCCAGGAACCTGTAGTTAGCCTTTTGCGTCTTTAATTACTTACAAATAGCGGTCTTTTTAGAATTTACAAATCGCAAGTGGATAAAATTAAGCTTTGATTCCTGAAAGTCGTTTATACAAGTGCCGTCAGTCGCCAAGAGCCGTTGTGCCATGTCCGCCATTTTTTTTTCTCAAGTGGTGTTCTCATAACAGGTAAGAAAAGTTATGTTTCGATGTTAAAAGTGACTGTTTTTTCTCCACTTGTGTGTTACTTATTAGTTTATCTATTCAATTTCATTAATACTGTAATAATTTATTACTAATTTGCGTATAAATTGAAGGGGCTGGCTACTGGAGACTTCGCTTTTTGTATGAAATCCAATGCTCAGGCTCCAGGGGCTGACTTTTGGGTAAAACGTATATTTTTCAAATCATGACAAAAATTAAGTATATCGTTAAAACCGTTACCATAAAATGGTCAAATTTAACTTAACATTCCATATACAGTTTTGTGAAAAACCAAGTAGGCAGCCATATTTGAAAATATTTTTAATAAGGCTGACCACTGGGTTTTGCGGTATGGGTAATATATTTATTATTTAACTATATTAACGAGGTTATTTTTATTATTTTTAGTAAAAAATGGCACTAAGACCGATACCCTCGTATCCCATATATCCGTTGATATAAACTACTTATGATATAAACTATTGTTGATTTTGATCTCATTATTATTGATAAGTGTTAAGGCTGAGTACAGGGTACACAGAGGTTGTTTATTGGATTTTAGAGGCTGGCTACTGGGAAAAAGCGCCATTTTTTCTTTAAACCTAAATATAATATCAGTACAGAAGATTTTTATTTGTTACATTATTTATATTAAAACTACAATAAATGGTTGATCGATAAGTGTGGTACATTTTTTTATCTGTACAAATAACTAAGTTTCAAAATTGAAATTCCCGTTAAAAGGCTGACTATAGGTGCCTTTACCCTATCATTGATTTTTTTTTTCAATTCTCTCTAAATAAAACGGCAATTGCATAATATTTCCAATATTCATTTACTCGTAGTTTGTTGTATAAATACTCCACTATTGTATTAAATAGTTTGTTATTATTATTAATAATACCATAAACCGATAATTCAAAAGGACTGCTTATGTCGACACAAGTTGTTGTAGTCGAGTATTTAGTACCTAATTGGTACAACAGATGTCGGTACGAGTACCAAACAGCTACATTTGTAGGTAACTAATTTTTTTTTACATTGACGAGCTGCAATTTAATTTCAAGTGGTAACAAACAAACCTACTAGATGGCGCGTATTGCACATATCGCACTTGATAACTAACATACTATTATCTCAAAAATTACGTTATATTATATTTTATCTCAAAATTGCGTTATATTAATGTTAATCTCCATAATTTCGCTATGTTGGTGTGTCATTCATATACGATTTAATTTCAAAGTGACAGTGTTCTGTCACCTTGAATCAAAATCCAGCTGTTGCTAATTTAAAAATGCTAGTTTTAGTTTCTAGTATTTAAGCTTTTATTGTCTGTCTTACCTTACCTGTATATAATCAAAATAAAAATTAATTATTTATAAGATAATCTATTTGTATCTTTAATAAAATGGTTACAAAACAATAAACTTCAAATTAATCTGAACAAAACTGTGTACATGGACTTTAAACACAAAACTAATACCCAACATGACATAAGTTGTATATGAATACAAAATTGAAGGAGGAGGAAGTTACACATTTGTTAGGGATCTATATAGACAATAATATAACATGGGAAAAACATTTAGGAATCTTGTGTACGAGAATAAATCGATTTCGATCGAACGACTATCTAAAGTTGTGAACCAAGATGCATTACTACTGGCATACCAAGGATACGTCGCGTCAATCATAAGATACGAGGGGAGGTCCAAAAGTCCGCGGAATGGAGGGGGCGGGAGCCCGCTAATTACGCTTGCTTGATGTGGTACTAATCAGATACTCATTAGGGGTATATATATCAAGCTTCACCCTTTTAACTTCATTAGTTTACGATATATCGCCCTACAAACAAGTAAATCCGGAAGAGAACTGCAAATATGGATCAAATCGAGTTTCGTGCTGTCATCAAATTCCTTACCAAGCAAGGAAAACCTCCTCAAACCATTATGAATGAGATGGAAACTGTTTATGGGGATCAGTGCCCTGGTAAAACAATGATTTACAAGTGGCACGGTCTTTTCAAACATGGCAGAGCATCAATTGAAGACGATCCTCGCCCAGGGCGGCCAGTTGAGGCCACCACATCAGACAATGTTGAAAAAATCGAAAAATTCATATTGGAAGATGCCCGTCTGAAGAAGAAACAGCTGTCTGCATTAGTAGGAGTATCAGACACTACCATTTTGAGGATCCTACACGATCATCTTGGCATGACGAAAGTCAGTGCAAGATGGGTGCCGAGAATGCTCACGCCGCCTCAAAAGCAACAAAGAATCGATGCATCAAAGCACTTCTTGGAGCTGTGTGGCGCAGAACCTACCCCAATTTTGGAGCAAATTGTTACTGAAGATGAAACTTGGGTTCATCACTTTGAGCCCGAGTCCAAACAGGAGTCAATGCAATGGCATAAAAAGGGTACACCACCCCCTAAGAAGTTTAAGGTGTCGGAATGGGCTGGAAAAATCATGGCTACGGTTTTTTGAGATTGTGAAGGAATTTTATTGGTTGACTACAAAGAAAAGGGGGTCAATATAACGGGAGAATATTACGCAAGAACATTAGAGAGACTGATGGAAGCTGTCAAAGAAAAAAGGCGGGGAAAATGGACAAAGGGTGTGTTGCTTTGCAAGACAACGCACCGGTTCACAAGAGCAATGTTGCGATGGCTGCTCTACACAAGTGTGGCTTTCAATCGCTGACCCACCCACCTTACAGCCCGGACCTAGCCCCCAGTGATTATTATTTGTTCCCAAATTTGAAAAAAGAATTACGTGGGAAAAAAATTCGCGACGATGAAGAGGTTAAGGCAGCAATTTTAGCTCATTTTGAGAGCAAAGAGAAAAAATATTTTTTCGATGGCATAGAAAAGCTAATTTCGAGATCTAAAAAATGTATTGAGCTTGTAGTAGTATAGGTATGCTTACCGTGGACTTAACAAATAAAACGTTTAATCGCACGACACTATTTATTTCACCAACTACACATTAAGAAAGGCGAAGGAGAAAGTACAAATTTGCGAGGCGTTA